AACACGATGTCTCGCTCGGCAGGTTTTCCCCATTGTGTGAAACGATATGAACAAGATGTCAGACAGAAGGATGAGAGACATGGGGTGTTTCTCAATGTCAAGGAAGGATGCTCCAGAGCCACTATTTCAAGGATGCTACGTCATCGAGTCCCGCCGAATGACTGTTCCAATGTCTAGGATGCTTGGAATTCTACCAAGCCCGGCGTCCTTCGTAGCGAGAAATTTCGAGGCTGCACATGTGTATCCTCCGCGGTCTTAAAATCCCCACAATGCTTTGCGCACGGACCAATTTCCTAAAATCTGTGGCGGAAAATGTAAGGCGGGGCCTCTCATATGACGCACACCTGCACACTTGCTCGCCTGTTCCATTCTTCGTTCTCCGAATGCCTGGAAGGATAGTTGCGTAGCTTCTGAAGGAAGTGACTCGGAAGACATGTGCTACCAAGGAAGCATCCTCGACATTGAGAAACACCCACGGACTGCATTTAGGGTTTTTTTTTTTTTGGATGGAGGTTCAACGTAAGGATACGATCAGTGCCTGGAAACAACACACTACCCCGGACCATTTCAGCCATGATGCAGCCAACAGACCAGACATCAACTGAAAAATGAAATGACAAACCACCAAATTAGCATGCAGGACTGGAAGACAAACTGAAAAAATAACCCCAAAAACATAAACAACATAACAGAAGGGAAAATTATAAATAAACAAAAACATGATGTGGGGCCAGGTGATGTGTTTGATGCATGACAGAAATGAATTGCATGCAGTTGAGTGCACTCATTGACCTCGGTCAGCGTCCCAGGAAGAAGATGTAAATTGTATTTGACGTGACATTACGATGTTTACACTGAAATCGAATGGAAGAACTTATTAAATAATGTTTAAGATGCAGCAGGTTGATCGAATGGTGAATACTGAGCTTTTAAAAGTGAGACACTGACTGTTAAGGTCTTTGTTTTATTTGCAGAAATGCATTTTAACACCCTCTGTATCCTCACTGCAATTCATATAACTTGTATGTTCTACTTCGACAAATCCACCTGAGAAATTATTCATATTCTCCCAATTTCTAGATCAGAAGGCAGATTTTTTTTGTGTTATTCTGGGGAACAATTTATCTTTTTGTGCGACTGTTGCTATGGCTTTTTACAAAGGCATATGGAGAGCAGTTTGAGGATACACAAGCGTATTATTATGCAAGATCTCAGCTATGAACGAGCAAACTTCTCAATTCTATTTCCGTTTCTTTTTCATGTGACTGTCTTGAAGCTGCAGTGCTGAAAAGAGAGAGAGAGAGAGAGAGAGAGAGAGAGAGAGAGAGAGAGAGAGGGAGTGTGAGTGTGTGTGTCTGCATGAAGAGCAGGTGGGTGGCTGTGATTTGAGGTGTCAGGCAAATCTGAGAAATAGAACGACTCTCGTTGCTCACAGGATTTGATCTCCGTGCGATCCGGCAGATGAAAAAAAAAGAAAAGGGAATAGCTTGAAGAGATGAAAGACGTTTCGGTGCTACGTTGTTTTTCTTTCAGGAGAAATGCCAGACACTGCTGCAAGCAGCTCAAGGATACAATCCCTTCCTGGAAAAAGGATTTTGTGGCGAACCATTTCTGCCATAATGCAGCCCACAGCCCAAATATCCACTACATGTGCGCAGCGTAAAAAGGAGGGAAAAGAGAATAAGCAAAAGAATGCAACAAGTCAGCAGGAAAAATTATTTTGGTTGAAGAGGAGGAAGGACAAGAGAGTAAAGGTACTCTCCTGAGTTTGTAATAATAGGAGCTTTATTGCTATATATCGACCTAATGATTTCTGTACAAAAGGAAAAAAGTTATTCTCTGAGTTCTTTAAAAGTCCAAAAATCTAGATTTGCTTAATTTACTATTATGCATCTAAGCTGATACCTACCTATCTGCGTGGCTACTAGAGCCTTAATCATGTTTTTATCGAAGGGAATTTAACATTTCAGTAAGTATGAGTGTTCGAGAATTGGATAGAAAGGCTGAAACCACTCGTGTGTCTGTGTGCTAAATATGAAACTATAGAGAATTAGCTTAGCTTAGCATAAAGACTGGGAACAGGGATAACCAGCTAGCATGGCAGCCATTCTTTACTCTAGCTTCATATCTAACAAACAGACATGAGTGGCATCAGTCTTCAAAACCAATTAATGGCAACTAAGCATATTTCTTAAAATGTTCGACTATTCCTTTGTTACAATTTTGCCTAAACTGTGACAGGAGCACCAAGAGAAACTGCTGAGTCATGCACAAGTCACTGTTTTCATTCTGGCGTTTTTAAAGCCAGGCTGTATGGAGCGCAGGACCGGCAGCCTCTTAATAAAACATCAAACGCATGCTGAAGCGCTGCTGGTAACTGGAGTCCCCCGACAGGAAGTTTCCCACAATGCACCTCTGCCCAACATGCCAACTTCCCCGGACCCCTTGAGTTTGACATTTACAGGAACAGCGAGTATGTGAGAGTGTGTGTGCTGAAAAACATCCCATGCAGCAGGCCAGGCAGTAGCTTTCGGAGCTCCTCATTGGTCGCTGAGAAGGAGCTGCTTCTTGTACTCACCGTTGGCCTGGTAACCCATGCCCAGGATGACTTCGGGGGCGCGGTAATATCGGGTCACAACGTAGGGCGTCATCAGGAGGCCGGTGGCGGCGGTTCGGGCCAAACCGAAGTCCAGGATCTTCAGCGTGCAGTCGGACTTCACCACGATGTTGCTGGGCTTCAGGTCCTGACAGGAAACACAGAAGATTCAAGATTCAGATTCAAGGCTTTTATAGAGTGGTGCAGTGACGAGTCCTAAAACCCGGAAGTGAGTCAGCATTTTACCACTTCCTGTTCCCTCGTCTCAGAGCCAATGGGATTTCTCCTTAAGATTTTGGAAAATAGCTGAAATAAGGTCTGTGGTTGACACAAAGTTAAGAGACGGATCACGTTTGGTTCTACGACATTAAATCCGTCAGCAGTGACCCCACTGGTGATTTCTGAAGAGTTGACGTGTCTGAAAAACGATGGTTGTTACCAAGTGGCTGAATAGGACTACAGAAGTTGTGGAGGACGTTGTAAGTCATTACGCCGAACACGTAAACACTCCTCTAAGTTTGTTTTTCCCCGTGTTCTGCAAACTGTTCAAACAAACGCTTCAACTTGTACCATTTAGAATCTATGTGTTTGAATATGGATCTGAAGTTAGCGTGACGTTGAAGTCGTGCTGCTGTACTCGGCTGTAGTTCCTTTATAGCATAACGTTAGCATTTAGCTTCTAGCCATTAGATTTATGATTCGAAAATTATAAAAGTAGGGAAGACATGTGGGGATTATCCGGCTGAACAAAACGTGCATTTATCAAACAGGTTTGTTTTCCACAGACATTATTTCGAGCTATTTTCCAAAATCCTATGGAGAAATCCCGTTTTTTTTTTTTGTCGAGGGAACCAGCAGCTTACTTCCGGGTAAATACGTCATCCCTGCACCGTTCTATTATCTCAAAATCGAGTCTGATGGGTTAAAATATGGTGGATTTTCCAAAAGAATATGCACTTTCTATGTTGCAACAAAATGCGTCTTCAAAGTACCACGTTTTCTCCAGTTGTTTCCAGGTCAGTAATTCACATACTCAGAGCATCTAAGCATCACTTTAAAAATACTTCACTTAGTTCACGATTACCAGTCACCTTCAGTGAGAGGGTCAAAGGTCGAAGTCAACATCCAGCAGACGGAATATAAATGTTCTTTTGACCCTGAACGGATGATCTGTAATGAACACACTGAAGTGAGAGAGAAATAAGAGCAGCAGGGAGACTTCTTCCTCCTCTCAGGGAGACTCTGAATTACACTTATGAGTAATAATCCTCCGGCACTCACCCTTCAGAGGCGCCTCAGTTTGACTGATATTAGTCAAATTGCGTCATGTGCTTTTAAAGATGACTCTCTTTAAGTGCAAGAGGAGGGTGTTGAAAGCAGAACGCAGCTTCAAAGGAAGATCTCTCCCCGCCAAGGTCAGCTCATATTTTAACTCCAATTTCAATACTTTATGAGCGTGACTGTAATTAAAACCATGAGGTCAGCTGTCGGATATATTATGGAAGAGCAGACAGCCAGGTGAGCCCGGTTATTAGCTTTAAAATACACCACAAAAACTCGAAATCTGTCCCAGTATCTGTGTCTGATATCTAGTCAGAATGTTTCTCTCCACCTGATATATGACATAATAACTTCAGAAGTAACACTGCAGTGAGATATAGGCTCTTGTTTTTAGACAAAGCATCATCTTGTTCAGTCAAACAATCTTATTTTGAGTTGTATCTCAGATGATACACATTTATTTTGACATATTTATTAGAACTAACATCCGAAAACAGAAAACTTTTGAGCAGCTTCCGCCCTCAGCTTCCGCCCCAGCTTCCGCCCCAGCTTCCACCCCAGCTTCCACCCCAGCTTCCACCCCAGCTTCCATCCCAGCTTCCACCCCAGCTCCACCCCAGCTTCCACCCCAGCTTCCACCCCAGCTTCCACCCCAGCTTCACCCCAGCTTCCCCCCCACCCCAGCTCCACCCCAGCTTCCACCCCAGCTCCATCCCAGCTCCACCCAGCTTCCACCCGAGCTTCCACCCGAGCTCCATCCCAGCTTCAACCCCAGCATCCACCCCAGCTCCATCCCAGCTTCCACCCCAGCTTACACCCCAGCTTCCACCCCAGCTCCACCCAGCTTCCAACCCAGCTTCAACCCCAGCTCCACCCAGCTTCCACCCCAGCTTCCATCCCAGCTCCACCCAGCTTCCACCCCAGCTTCCACCCCAGCTCCATCCCAGCTCCACCCAGCTTCCACCCGAGCTCCATCCCAGCTTCAACCCCAGCATCCATCCCAGCTCCACCCCAGCTCCATCCCAGCTCCACCCCAGCTTCCATCCCAGCTCCATCCCAGCTCCACCCCAGCTCCACCCCAGCTTCCACCCCAGCTCCACCCCAGCTTCCACCCCAGCTCCATCCCAGATCCAAAGTAATGTTATAGTATCTCGAAAAAAGTAATAGTATACATATGTTAGAAAAGTCATATTATAGTGTTTGTATAACATGCCAAAAAAAAGTCATAGTAAAGTATGTTGGAAAACATTTATAGTATAGTTTATCAAAAGTTGTGAAAAAATATCTGTGGAAAAAAAAGTTGTGAGAAAAAGTTCTGTTCATTAGAATCAGTTTCTGTTCAGAAGACAAAAAACACATTTTCTACGATACAGATTTTCTTTTATTGAGAGTTTTCATATACAATATAATATATATTTATAGTATGTAGATGAATTGTTTTTTAAAAACTAAAAAGTAATTCTGCGTCATCTTTACAGCCGTGGGACTCTCCTAATGAACACTCGAATATAGACTTTTATTTTACAGTTGCATAAAAATACATCCTCTCATTTGTCGAGAATTTGTCCAAAAAGAAATAATATTTACAATTTGAAAAAATACTGTGAATGTTAGATGTGCTTTTATTTCCCTTCTTGTACTTCAGCAGCCCTTTGGTGTTTTTTTAAAGCCGTACCTCACTCCGAAGTTTCCGTTATTTCTCAGCTTTTTAACCTGAACGAATATCTGCTGGTGTCGTGGAAATCAAATCAGAAAATAATTATTTCATATTAACAGTTTTAGGGTCACAACTCACAACGCTTCACAAACGTATACATTTAAAGTGCTTAAAGTTTTCAATTAAAAAATATAATTTTGACTTTTCTTCAAACATTTATCAAAACATGGACTTTTTTCTAAATTCAGACTTTTTACAAAATGTAGACTTTGTTCCAAATTTAGACTTTTTCCAAAATGTTATCTTTTTTTTCNTGGCCGCGTGATGATCCAATGAAGGAAACGGTAATTCAGTATACTAGGCCTCACCAGCATGAATGTGCTTATTCTTCTAGCACATTTTCTGGTTCGCTGCCCTCTAACTGCTAGCTTGCAGGTGTCAAAAGGAAGCAGGAAGAACAAACCCGACGAATCAGGGTTTCTAATTAACAGGAGAGAGGAAACGTTTTGGAAGAACAGATGGGAAATACAAGAGCAATCAAGAAAAAAAGCAGGCAGGTCCTCTTCCTTCCTAACAGGGAATTATTGTAGCATGAAAGCATGAGGTATGTGTGTGTATGTGACGAAGATGAAGACTCGAGGACAAAGCCGTGGGTGATTCAGGGTTTAAGTCATGACACTATCCCTTCAACATTAATGGCCATCACAGAATTCACATCTCTTTGTAAATTTGCCTTAACACATTTGTTCAAATGATAACATATACTTCATCCATATATTGAGATGTGGAGAGTCAGGTTGAATCCACTTAATCATGAATGCACTGAAAATTCCTGTACTTGCTGGTTGGCAGCAGATGAGACAGTTTTCATCTCAAAGCCTCCCAGCATCACTCCTTGGAGAGCACCTTTGAAATGGTTTGGATATTAAGATGAAACCACCTTTCTTAGGGCGCAGTATGTGGATATGATGCCAATTGTATTTTTACATTCCCTTAGGCTTGAGGTCAAATTATTAACACATTGCGTCCATTGAAATCTCTCAAGTTTTTTAGTCCACATTTTATATTCTCACTCCCATTATCATTTACTGCTTCCATTAAAGCGGGTTTGACATCTTGTATTCTCACTATTATGTCTCTGTATGGGGATTCCATAAAGGATCGTGTCCTTGGTCTTCGAAACCAAACCTTGTTGGTTTCCCCCCCCCACACACTCGCCACCTGTTGCGGTTGTCAGCTATTCTTCAATGGAAAAAGGACACTGAAACATGGTTGCAAGCTCACAATACTCATTTTGCATCATGATACATTTACCTATTCTCTCATTAGCGCCCTCATTTAATCGTGGAAACATTTGCTTCATTATTTGTGTCACTCACAGGCTTGCCATAAGCTTAGCTGGTGTTGCTGTGATACCTGACACACACACACACACACACACACACACACACACCACACACACACACACACACCACACACACACCACACACACACACACCACACACAACACACACCACACACACACACACACAACACACCACAACACCACACACACACACACAACACACACACACACACCGAAGGTAAATAGTGATGGGGACGGCTGAGCTGAGAGAAGAAGACTTCGCAGAAAGTGGGTGGTAGGGATGAAACAAAGCTACCTACACTGGAAGAGACAACACACATGCTCACACAGAACATGAACGAATGGATACATTTCTTCCGTATATGGAGTTCGTGAAGCTGCAGAACACTGAGGTAGGAGCGTTCCTGAAGTGTTTTAGTACATTAAAACATGAACAAGGTTGGCACATGCAGGGAGTCCATGTCAGGGTTGACAGATGAAGCCAAGCAAACACCACTGCGAACACAATGCACGCGCGCACGCACGCAAGCACACACTCACCACAACACATACACAACACACAAACACACTCTTTCTGCTCCCTCGAGGAGGCGAATAAAACACAAACAGAAATATGGCAAAACACAAAAACAGCATTTATCACATCCGCTGTCTTTGCGGTTTATGGAGTCCATTAACAGCGACTGCTTCCTCTTGCTTAATTGTGTTGCCTCACACAATTTGGATCGGATATTGCTTTGTGCCTGTGGCCACGAAAATGATTGTGTTTCGAGTAATAGTGTGTGTGGTGTGTGTTGTGGTGTGTGTGTGTGTGTGTGTGTGTGTGTGTGTGTGTGTGTGTTGT